ACATAGAACCGAACTATGACGATTGTCGGGATTCCGCATCTGGTAAAATGAACTGGGGCAAATGGCATGCAACATTATATAGCGGGCCGGCCTTAGCCAGAATTACGCATCTGTTTTCAGACTCGCCGGTCGTTACCTTACAATTTTCGGGCTTACAATCACGATTCATGAAAGCAGGCACACTTTCAGGTAGTCCCATATTTTTTAATTCCCGGACTTCGCTTTATTATGCCAATACTTATTCAGACACTTTTTATCAATTCGATATTACAAGTAGTCAATTGATACACAAAGTCCCGTTGCAATCTGCTTATAGTAATATGGGAGCGCCTTTTTCAACAATCAGCGTTAGTAATAATGATGCCCAGGCTCACGGCGATATGGTAAGAAGTACTAAAGGCGTGATCAGAGAAGGCAAATATGACCGGTACAGAAAACTCATCTACCTGATGTTTTACCATGAAGTGCCAGCCGATACCAAACCCATACATAAAGGTGAACACCGCGCCTGGTCTATGTTTATTTATAACGAACAACTGGAGAAGCTGGCGGAGATTCCATTCAAGGCAGATACGTATTTACCCCAAAGCCTGATCGTAAACCCGGAAGGAATCTTATTGAAGAAAATGGATATTAACCTGGAAGAACGCAGCTATAAACAGACCTTTCAACAATTCAAAGTTGGATTTATCCAATAACAATCATAAAATTCAATGGCAATGAATTATTCAAAATGGCTGCTGTGCCTGCTCTGTACAATAAGCGTGATGCCCGCTTGCAATAAACCTCCCAAAAGTACCAATAACGTACTGCAACATTTGTATGAATTCAAGGGATTCCAAATGACTGCAAGTACAAAAGCCATCGTAATTATTGCCGACAATTCCTGCATGAGCTGCAACCGGGAACTGGCTTTGCTGATGACCAACTATTTAAAAGATCCAAACATTAAAATTTGTCGATCGCAGCCCATGAAAGCGGTATGGACTTGAGCGCCTACCTTCACACGAACAGAAAGGATATTGTATTTGACAACAATCATCAGTTAACCGAGCAGGAGATCATCAAAGGCTCCACCATCCTCTTCCTTAAAAACGGCGATGTTGATACAACGATCCGGGTTGAAGCCAGTAAATTGGAACAGCAACTACAATACCTGCGCGATAGTTTATAACCTCAACAGAACAGGCTGCCCGAATGGGCAGCCTGTTCTGTAAATCCAGTAAGATTCACGGCCTTTTATTCACCATAATAAGCGATCTGCTCCATACCCTCACTATTCCGCACAGCCCGGTACATACCGGCACTGTTAAAGGTAAATTTATGCTCACCCGCTGCATTTACAGCAATCATGCCCCCTTCTCCACCCATCTGGTAGAGCTTGTCTTTTATCACCACATTACAGGCCTCCTGTAACGACAGTCCCTTGTATTCCATCAGGCAGGACACATCATAGGCCACTACCGCGCGCAGGAAAAACTCGCCATGACCCGTGCAGGAAATCGCACAGGTTTTATCGTTGGCATACGTACCGGCGCCAATAACAGGACTATCCCCTATCCGGCCAAAACGCTTGTTGGTCATACCACCGGTACTGGTACCTGCCGCCAGGTGACCAAGACTATCGCAGGCCACAGCGCCTACCGTACCAAATTTATGATCGGTATTCGGGATCACGCCCTTCAGGTTATCAGCCTTATGGTCCAGCTGGTAGAAGTCGCTGTCGCGGATCTCCACCCACTGATCATAACGGTCTTTATTGAAAAAGTAATCATCATGGGTGATCTCTACTCCCTGTTTCAGGGCAAACTCACCTGCCCCCTTTCCGCTAAGCATTACATGCCCGGAATGCAGCATCACCTCACGGGCCAGCTTAATCGGGTTTTTGATATTGCGTACACCGGCTACCGAACCCGCCGTCAGATCAGCTCCGTTCATCAGGGCCGCATCCATTTCATGAAGCCCTTTCTTAGTGAATACAGAACCCTTACCGGCATTAAACAAAGGATTATTTTCCAGTACCTCTATGGCTGCAACAACGGCATCCACCGCAGCACCATTTTGCCGTAATACATCATAACCCGCATCCAGTGCAGCACGAAGGCCTGCGGTGTACTGATGTTCCTGGTCTTTATTCATAATGGCAGGTGTTATATTTCCTGCCCCGCCGTGAATCGCAAGCGTGATCATTTATATGGTCGTTTTATTGATTGGTCAAATTTTCTGGTAGTGCTTATTCAATATAGGCGCCCAC